TCAGTGGTTTGTCTGCCGAGCCGTTTGGCCTGGTGGATAAAACTACTTCTCTTTAGTCGTCCCAAAGCTAAATTTTGGAATCTTTCATTCATAGGGTGACTGGGCATACTAAGAAACTTTTCTGCTTGTAAAAGCATCTTGGTGTCTCTGCGTTCACTCAGTGCTTGGGTCATCCCCATTTTCTCCATCACAGCTATAGGTGTTGATTTCATACTGCCTGTGGTAACTCTGAGTGCTTGATTTTGCACTTTGTCTAATTCTTGCAATGTGGTTTTTGATGCCGAACTCCATGCTGTTGATCCGTATTCAAGATGTGGTCGAACACTTTGTTGGTAAACTTTTCTAAGTATTTTCCCGCTAGCACCCCATGTGGTTCCACTTAGTTTTCTCAGAGTGGCTACCCTCCTTCTGGCTTTGGTTGCTGCCTTGTTGATGTGTTTTCTCCATGTTAATCTATCATCAAACGTTACGCCGAGGTATGTGGGCTCCTTATCCTCTCTCAGGGGTACTCCATTTATGTGCATGACACCTGATTTTTGTTTAGGAGAAAGGGTAAAGAGGGTGGTGCTGCATTTGCCTATGTTGATGCTGACACACCATTTGTTGGCCCAATCAGCCATTGCATCTATGGCTCTTTGTAGCAGCCTGGTGGCCACTGTCGCATTTTCATTTGTACACCAGAGTACCAAGTCATCAGCATACATTGCAGCTTTAATTCCATGGGGTAGTTCAGAAAGCAGGTCGTTGATATAGACTAGGAAGAGTGTGGGGGACAGAACACCTCCTTGTGGGACGCCATGGCGCAGCAAAACTTTCTTACTCTTAAGTCCATCTATCTGTACTCGGGATCTTCTGTTATACAAGTATGCTTTCACCCATTTGTACATTCTCCCATTCACCCTGCAGTCTCTTAGTTTCTTCAGTAGACCTTCTTTCCAGACCTTGTCAAAGGCTTTCTTCAGATCTATCCATGCCGTTAGCACTAGCTTCTTTTCCTGGAAGGCATCCTCAATTTCTTGTGAAAGGTAAGTTGTCTGGTCTTCTGTGGAGTAGCACTGTCTAAATCCTGCCTGCTGCGGCGTGAAAATGTTTTCACTTTCCAAGTACCATTGGAGTCTAAGGTTGACAATACGTTCCATTGTTTTACAGAGGCAGCTGGTAAGACTGATTGGTCTATAGCTGGAGGCATCAGAACTGTCCTTTCCTTGTTTAAGCAGAGGTATTGTGATTGCTTCTCTCCATATTTGAGGAACTTTGCCACTGGTCCAACAATGATTTAAGATCTCTAGCAGCTTTTTTTTGGCAGTTGTTCCAAGGTTCTTGATCATTTCGTTGGTGATACCATCAATTCCAGGTGATTTTCCCATTCTCAGCTTTGATATTGCTAACTCTAACTCGCTGGATGTAAGTGCTGCCACCAGTGCCTCAGGAATTATATCTTTTTGTCTTATATGTTGTTTGTTTTCTTGAACCTCTCGCTGTTTCTCTGGGCTGACATTAATGTTGCTGTCTTCTGCAAAGGAATCTGCAAAGTGGTCAGCTGCCTGTTTTTCTTGTTAGGATGGCTCCCTCTTTGCATAGTGCAATATTACCATTTCTTCCTGTATTCTCATCATTAATTTGCTTAATTAACCTCCACAACTTCCTTGTGTCTCTTTCAAAGTTTAGAGACTTTGTCTTTTCTTGCCAGCTTGCCCGTCTAGCCTGCAGTTTGGCTCTTTGAAATTTGGCCTTTGAATGTTGGTAGTTGTTAAACTGCTCTTGACAAGGTCTGGTCTCAGCTTGTTTTCTTTCTGTTTCCATATTGTTGTGCAGTTGCTCCAGATCGCAATTCCAGTACGGTTTGTATTGTTTACGCGCACCTCTTGGAACTGCTTCTAGGGCTGCCTGCAGCATGCGTTTGCTCAACTCTTGGACTACTTTTTCTACGTCGTTATCTGTGTTTAGATTTTCCAGGAGAACATTTGTGCGAAGCTGATACAACTTCCAGTCTGCTTCCTTAAAATTCCACCTTGGCAGTGTGCTGCTCTCTCTTACAGACTGGCTTTCTATAGTTAGAAAGACTGGCCGGTGGTCACTGCCTCCTAGTTGCTTCCCAACAGTTCTGGTAACATTCAGTTCCATGTCTGCTGAGTGAAAGGCTAGGTCTGGTGTCGAGGTGGTATGCCATGCTCTAGAGTAGAAGGTTGGTGGGTCGGTTGGCTTATTTACGAGGATGAACCTATTCTCATCCTGCCCTTTTTTTAAAGGAAGTTCCCTGAGGCACTTAAAATTTCACAAGAATGTAGTCCAGCATTATCAAAACATATAATGCCATTATCAAAGCTAATGGCTAAATTGTTAGGATGCTAGAATGATAACATCAATTAGAAAGCTACTAAGAATGACTATCATCTTTTAGACAAACAAGAAGTCATTATTCTGCACCTCCGAACATAACACAATCAATTATTAGCCAGAATCAAAATGTTGCGTGCACATATGATCTGGGTGCTCAGCATAATACACTCCAAGACTACCTTGAATACTTCATGTTAAGACAAAACATTTAGCCTAGCGGTGCAGCAGGGAAAATTTAACTTACACTGAAGTTAAAAAAAAAATGTTTGTTACTGAGCACATATTTTGTCAGGTAGTTGTCAAGAAAAACTGCGTCTGCAGCAAATAAAAAACCTGCCTGTGAATATCACTACAAGCCTATTACCAAATCATTCAGCCACGAGTGCATTCACTTCAGATGTCACAGCTGTAGTAATCTGCCTTCTGAATCTCTAACAAGAATGACAGTTAAGTAAAGTTTCATGCCAGAGGTGTTCAGGCTTTTGAGGCTAGATTCATATCTAGAGAGATCAATCAGCTCTCAATAAGCGATGTGATCAACATCACACCTGCCACATTTACTTCTCAGAACATATCCGGTATCCATTTTAGGGAGCCACGGTTGTAACAAACATGATAGGAAAAAGAATTCTCTGAAATTAAAAACTTGTAATTTTGTTTAAACATTAAATTACTTTCTGAAAGAGTACCTTTGGTAACTGAGCCCTGACACGGTTTTCAGCTTCTTGGAAAGTCTCATTCAGTTTGTGCAGTCTGTCTAAAAAATCTGTCTTCACTGATGGGTTTAGCTCTTCTCCATAAGCCTGAACCTGTCTGGCTTCCAGGATGTTCCTGCACGAGCGACACACCCGCAACGGCCAGCAGATTTCAGGCTCCACAGGTGGGCACTGGTCAATCACACATAACAATGTAACATGAATTATCGGTCAAGGGATGTTCGTCACATGTTATACTTCTCATGTTAGTCCCAGGGCCCTATCGTTGGGGGACAAGAATAAACCTACTCCCCACTAACAAATAAATGATAAGTGTTGAATAATTAGGGATGTTTCTTTCAAAGTTAGAGTGAATCGGCCTGAGAGGGTGAAGAACTATCAGTCTGCATACAAATAATCTAGATCTGTAAAACATAAAATTCAGGTTCTGGAACAAGACCAAAGTCCAGAAGTGGATGACACACCCAGAACTTTCTGCTGGAATTTACAGTCGGTGAACATGAAGAAGAAGAAGAAATTTTATACCATTTATTAGAATGATGACATTAAAGTTACACATAACATGAACACGTTATGCATTTACCTCACAAAATCACCTGTCATGGACCAATTAAGTTTTTAACTTCCAGAGTCTTTTTTTCTCTTTCAAACAGAAAACAGGAGAAAGTTATGGAAAATTTGACAGAAAAAGAGCCATAGGGACACCCAAAAAAGATGACTGATAGTACAAATGACAGGTTGTGGATAGACAAGATTAACAATCACATAGTAATTGACTACAAAAAAAAAGAAGAAAATCACAGATTTTACAAGAATAGCACTGAATTTGGCAGGTCAAGGTTAAACAGCACCATGGCCTGATGAGGTCAGGTATGGCCACATGAAGGCTTTAAGCGATGTAGACCTGGCAGAGTTGACCGACCGCTTTAACCAGAGTATTAAGATAGCATAGGTACCGCAGGACTGGGTGCACAGCTATCTAATCCCACTACCAAAACCTTTTAAAGATCATTCAAAGCTCAGTGGATTTAGAATCATCACCTTACAAAACACTTGGAGAAGATAGTTACTGTAAAGCTGCAAGAATTTTTGGAAAGGGGAAAGCTTCTCCCAAAAGGTCTGGGAAGCTTCAGGTCAGGAAAGGACACATAGGCAAATGAGGCCACTTTTGCTTTTAACGTTTATGAAGGGTTCCAGAACAGACAGGAAACTATGGCGGCAGCACTGGATCTCGAGGATGCTTATAGCAGAGTAAGATATGACATCTTGATGACCGCACTGAAGGAGAAGGAGGTCAGTCCATGGCTAGTGAATTGGGTTGCAGCTGTCCTGTATTCATGTCGGGTTGCTCTCCGACTGGGCTCATGGACCTCAGAACCATGCACTTTGGCCCCAGGACTGCCACAGGGATCCGCCATCTCGCCTGTGCTCTTTAATGTGTATACAAGCAAGATTGCAAGCCTAGAAGCACTAGGAGATGGAAGGATACTGACTTTTCCGGATGATATACTTGCATATAGGCAGGGGGAAGAGAGGGAACAAACAACCCGGGAGCTACAAGAGACAGTAGACAAAGTGACTGAGTGGTGTACTAGACAACAGGATCGTTAGAGTTAATGTTCCAAGTCTCACAATGGTAGAAATGTCAACAGAAAGAGCAAACTGATGTATCTGGTTTACATTTGACAGGGGCCTGTCCTTTGAGGACTATGTGGAGAGTGTTTTATATTTGGCTAGAACACTATGTAAAAATCTAGCTATGAAAGTGGCCACTTCCACTGTGTTTTGTAATTCATGAAAATAATACACTAATTTTGTCATAGCATAACCCAAGACCTTTCGACCTGATGGGTAAGTGGAGACTGGAAAGTAAACAACTAATACAATCATTCATTATCTTTCTTTCTATTAATCCTTAAAAAAAACATAGTTAAATTACTGTACCCCTATAATTTTGATGATGGCCAGTTTTGGTGGCCAATACTCCTTTTCATCCTTCTCTCCATCAGGAACATAGATGATAAGGTCCTCACTTGAGCATGATTTGCAGACAGCAATCCCACAAACATGACAACAGTTCTTCTGTCTGGTAATGCTGAATGCTTCATTGCACGTCTGACATTTTGTTGCTAAATCTTCTCTCTGGTGAATGACAAAACATATGACAAACTGCATTTAAATATGTCAACATAATAACTTGCGTAAAAATTATCATTATAAAAAAACAAATTCTTGCATAAATAACGGTGATTGCAAAATAAAAAATGTAAAAAAAAAAAAAAAAGACAGGATGTGTCTTTTAACTGTTTTAATAAAATTATTTTTCAAATATGACCTTAGCTCCCAGGTCGACCCAGTATTTTAAGTGGGTACCGGGTGCAGTCCCGGGAAGTAAAGGTGGCGGGCGTGATGCTGACCACATCACCCATCTTGTGCCGATTGGTCTATAAAATATAGGTCTAGCCCTATATGCCCTATACGCCTAAAGGCGTGGAAAAAGGTCCTTTACTTACTTTTTTTTACTATATTCATGAAAGATGGTAGACTCGATAGAGAGAAAACAACTAGAGTGCTTCATTATATGTTGATGTAAATTATGTAATATGCACTTGGTGAGATATATTAAAATATGCTTGGCCATTAATTGCGCAGCATACTGTTTTGTCCACATTATTTAAATTCATAACAAGAAAACACTGAGTATAACACGCTGATGTTATTGATGAGTTAAGTCTTTGAGTCCCAAGGAACGCATCATACGTTCATAGGTTCCTACTTAGAGACCCAGTGAACGCAAGATGCGCTGATTTGAAGTCTCTTTTGACTATCCCTTGGGCCTCTGATGCTAAACCCCCTAGGACACAAAGAGTTAAGGTAACAAGCTGATGTTATTAATTGAAATAAGTTACGGCACTTTATAAAACAGTAACTTTGGTAACTGAACCTAACTTGGTTTTCAGCTTTAGAGTTCAGAAAGCAAATGCTGTCAGCTCAGACACCCAAATGTCTTCCTTTATTCCAAACAACAGATGATTAATAGCATCTTATCTTCACCCCACTTGTATGTTATCAGTGCCAAACATGTACAAAGAGTAGATCATAAAAAAAAGAAGATAACCACCTGTGAAATGGTCAAAAGGTCACCAACAACATAGGGTCACAAATATCAGCATAACGGAGAAGTTATACAAGGACATGCCTGAAATACACAAGAGATATGCTGACACAACAGTGAAACTGTGTGTCCTGGGGGGCTTTAGTGATCGTTCAGCTTTTTGGAAGCTTCAACTATGCCATCTATCCATCGTTCCCTCTCTCTTTCCATCCAGTTTTCTACAGTAGGCCTCTTCTGGAGTAAGAGGGAATGATCAAGCGGACTGGCTTGCTGGCAAGCCACAGCAGACACAGGACAAGCAATGGACCGGGCCGCTGTTTCTAATGCTCTCAAGGAGGCAGGACGAGTAGATAATTCAGAGACGACTGACGACTTGTGGGTGTTGCCAGGTAGCCAAGGCCGTATAGTAAACCAACACAGAACTGGTATTATCCATCTTCAATACTGAAGACAGCCTTATGTTTTAAGTGGTCACACCCTGAGGAAGGTGATGAGGACGATCGGTCCATTAACTATGGGACAGCCAGTTACTGTGTCATTTCATTGTGTAGGGTGCCACAATATAACTGGTATATAGTGCACATAATACTGCAAAACCAGATTATTAATTTTTTTTTTGGAGGGGGGGGGGGGGGGGGATTGGGGGGATTTGTTTCTTTTTAAATTTTCAAGAATGGGTGTCAGTCTTGCAGATAACATTTCAGAAGGGACAATGTTTTTTAAAAAAGTAATGTCAAATGACTTAACTTTACAATTTTATATTTTAAATCTTAAATCATACATATTTATACAACAAAAATTCAAAAAATGTTTTAAACCAATTCTGGAAATGAAAATAAAAAAACTGAATTTACAAAAACAAAAAAACAATGGTAATACGTTTTGCAATTAAAAAAAAAAAAACGCCTCCACTTGTGGAACAATTCCAGATGCTCCCAGACTTTGTCACCCTCTGGGAGAACACCGTCTATCTGGTGTGGTACACCCCCTACCGGTAGTCTATTAAGCTTAGCCAATCGAATATTTCGTTGAACTTCCCTTCCCAATTAAACGCCCCCAATTAAGCCTGCATTCTGACCATATAAGACAGAAAGCGATGTAACCACTGGACCACGCACCAGACCGGATAATTGCTTCAGTTTTAGCTACTCGATCTTACCCGCGATATCCTGACTTGTGTAGAAGTGGTAAAACAGGTTTCTCCAGGTCTCCATCAAGGTCAGTTAGTGGGAGGGACACTTTTTAGATCGACGGCAATGAAACTTTATGTCTATATTTTTGATACACATGTAGCCGCAAATGTCTAACGCTCGCATTATATTATCTGTATAATTGTTGCGATAGTAACTTGGTATTAATATAACTCCTTATTACCGTTTCTGTATTAGTGTATTATAAAAAAGAAAATAAAAGCTTTTCAGATTAACATGGGCCGATCAACAGGATATAAGTGACCCCTTAGATATGAGGCGGGAGAAGCGGCGAAAGACCGATTTTTTTCCAGGCAGACCGTAATGGGAGCGACGTTCTGCAAAGGACCTGCTACATGATGACTGAGAGTGGCCATTGAATGCATTGGTAAACTACTATATAATGAGCATCCTGGACACGATGATGATTATAATTACCTCGTCAACCAAGGGTTCTTTACTTGTAATGACTACATGACCAGAGCCAATTTACTAGCGCAACCTAAGAGAAGGCATAGAAATTAAAGTCAAAAGAATTCTCCACCCCACATCACTGAGTCTGGAGCTCTGAATGTGAGGAGTTAAGTACGAATGCAGGTATTTTGGAGATCCCTGGGGAATTTTGATGATGCTACGGAGATTCAGGCTTTATGTGCGAGAAATCTGCCAATGTGAGATAGTAACCAGCGAAATAAACTTCATCCTCTCACTTTTTCATGTGAGCAACTGGCTGCCAGCAAGAAACTATATCAGTAACAGTAAATAACCTAGAGATAACACACAACTGAATCTAAACATCTAGGATAAGTTTTCACATCAGAAGAAAGAATGGCTAGAGAAATCAATATACTAAGTGACAAGGCAAATCAGCTACTGTGACATCTAATACAATATGTTTGCCCGTGTCTGAAGGCCCAAATTGTCCAATATACTTGCAGACGAACCTGACTTCTTCTTCTGCGTTCGACATCAGTCATGCTAAACATTGAGTCCCGTCTGTGTCACAAATAGGATTGTGCGTTTAAGGTCGCCACTGGTCCCCCATAGCTTCTCTTGCAAGGTGGCTCCCTTGGGCCAGATCCACAGTCTTTGCTGGGAGAGGTTAGGGCAGTACTGAAGTATGTGCTCGGGGGTCTGTCTTTCTGCTCCACAATCTCAGGCAGCAGATTCGTTTATGCCTATCCTGTACAGGTGTGCTCGAAGACCACAGTGTCCTGTCCGAAGTCATAAAATTGATGTTTGTTCTTTCCTGTTGAGTTTGTTTATGCTGTAACTCTCTGGTCTGTAATCTCCATTCTGACTTCTCCACTCCCGCTTGAAAGACTGCTTTAGCGCTGTTTTGGTTTCCTTGTAGCTATGTGGTGGATGAGGTTGTGGAAGATTACCCCCAGCTTTTGCCAACTCATCTGCTCTCTCATTTCCTTGAATACCACGGTGGGCTGGTTTAGTAAGCCAATGTTGGTTCTTGTATCTGCAATTAGTTTGTCTTCTTTTTTTCTTGATAGTGCTTGGAAAACAGACAATGAGTCACTAAGTATAACAATTTTGTGCCCTCTGTGTTCTTGAGTGATGAGATGTTGGACTGCCGTAAGGAGGGCAGTTGCCTCAGCTCTGAAGTTAGTGCAGATGTCACCTGCTGGTAAAGAGAGTTTCTGCTCTACTGCTAGGGGGTTTAATGTATACTCCACAACGCCCCTTTCTGAGTGCATCTGTATCAGAGCCGTCAGTGAAAACCTGAGTCCAAGTGGTGTTTGGATACTTCTCATCAAGCATAGCAAGAGCCAGGGTTCTCTGTTGTTTCCGTCTGGGCATCTTTTAAAGTGATCCCTGGTACCTTTAGGACTACATTTGCCTTCTCTGGCTTGCTTGTCCATGGTTCTGGCCTAAGTTTTTCGCACAGTGCAATATCTCTTTCAAGCAGATCTTGGTGCTGTCTGTACAGTTCTCTAGCTAGATGGTTGGGGCTCTGACACTTCAATCTGTTTTTGTTCTCTCTTGAATTTTAAAATGCAGTGGGTGACTTTGAAGTCTTTTTAATTTCTCATGCTGTAAAAAAGTTTTGTATTGTCTTCTGAGTTTGAGTGGTTCAATATCTGCTATCCTCTCAATCTCTCTGATGGGGGTGGTTTTCATGGCTCCGAGAACAATTCTTAATCCCATTTTCTGAACATTGTCCAGTTTTCCCATTGTTGTCTTGGCTGCTGCAGCCCATGCAGTGGAGGCATATTCCATGACTAGCCTGACTGTTCCAGTTATATACTTGTTTCAGGATTCTGGCGTTAGCGCCCCGTGTGGTACCCGCTAATTTTTTCATCACTGCAAGCTTCTTGAATGCTTTCCCCGTACTGCTTCTACGTGTGACTTCCAAGTTAGTCGCGAATCAAGTGTAACGCCCAGAAAGGTAGGAGTGTCAGTCTGTGGAATGAGCTGTTTTTTTTAAATCCAGATTTCAATTTTTTTTCTTGGGGGGGTGGGGGGGGGGGGGGGGGGGGGGGGGGGGGGGGGGGGGGGGGGGGGGGGGGGGGGGGGGGGGGGGGGGGGGGGGGGGGGGGGTGGGGGAGAGAAAAAGTGATGCTGTGCTTTTTGAATTATTTAGCTTTAGATCCCATTTTTCGGTCCAGGCTTCTACATTTTCCACAGTTTTCTGTAACAGATATGAGGCTGTGGTAGTGTATTCAGAGGCTGTCCAAACTGCAAAGTCATCGGCATGTAGGGTATTAGAAACGTGCTAGTGGCAGGTTGCTGTGATATCATTTATGTAAAACAGAAACAGAGTTGGTGCTATCGCACTGCCATGGGAAACTTCTCTTAGTTTTGCCAGTTTGCCGATGTGTCTA